AAAAACCTCCCAATAAAGGGCAGCCTTAAGATGTCTTCTAAAAGTTGTGTAATTCTTTGTCCCCTTGACATCTGAAGGGAGGGCCTTCCACAGGGAGGGTGCCACTCTCGAGAAGGCTCTGGTGCAGACCTACACAAGCTGTGAGCCACCAAGCTGAAGAAATCGCACTAGCCCTGTAATGTTGCGGCCAAGGTGCCTGACATTAGTCCCAGGAAGGCAGCTGTTGTCAAACTTTTACAAGAGCTCTAGGGAGGAACTGCTCCTCTAGTAAGAACAGGAGCATGAAAAAAAACACATAACCACAAGGTAACAAAAGTAGAATCATAGAATTGTAGAGTTGGAAGGGACCCCAAGGGAGTCAACTAAATCTCAACTAAAGTACCCTGACCCATGGCCATCCAACCATACATTGGATAGAAGGCCTTGACTGCTGCCTTTCAGAATCAGTTTGCCACATATACAATGACAGCAGCCTTCTCTTCTCCATTCACCAAGCCAACTCCATTTTTGTCTTCAAACCCAGCTCTTCATGAAAGCATTTCTGGAGCCACGTGGCTGTACCTCCATTGCTGTCTCTTCCCTATGCCTTTCTCAGCACCCATTTGACAATCTCCAGCATCTCCCTCCACTCCCATCTAGTATAGAGTGTATAAATTAGGATTTGCCAACCTTTTGGGGTCAGTGGACACATTTGGAGTTTTGAGAAAGGGCCACAGGCAAGGGTCACAGTATGGCTGCCATGGCTGGTGTAGCATAGCACAAAATGGGTGCCACATGTAACAGAGCAGAAACACAGGTAGTACCACTGAAAGGTGTGGGCCTTCTGCTCCTCAGTCTCCCATCAGTGGGGAAAAAGGCACCTATTTTAGCCACCACTATGCTCATTCACAAAGAGATGCTTTTTTCTGAATGGAAATGAGGGTGGGCTTCAGTCCTGGCATCCAGCAAAACTTGGGCATGTCTGACAGGCCATTTTCAACATAAGAGGCCAAGCCAGTGCAAGAAGGAACTCAGCAGGGAAGCGCAAACTGTCTCATGTGCACCATGGATTTTTCAGGATATATCTATTTATTGAATTTATATACCACCCTTCCTCCAAAAGGAGCCCCTGGTGGCGATTGAGACATTTCATGGGCGCCATAAGAGGTACTGGTGGGAACAATGGCACCCATAGGTGTCACCTTGGTGACCACTGAATAAGCCTTTTAGGTTTCACTTTTAGGTTCTACCAGCTAGGACCAACAACATGTAGAATACTGACTGGCATGATATTCATTATGCACTTCTTGCAATAAAAGTACTATATACAGCTGATAAATAAACATTCAGTCCTGTGTTGTGATTTTTGGAGAACAAAACATGCTGCTATAGTCAGATAGTGACACTGGAGGGCACCAAAGTGCCTGCTATCGGAAAACTACATAGCAGGTGTACAAGCCGAAGCTTCTCATTGATCCAATGACCATTTCATACATTTATGCAGCAACAAACCTCAGTTTGTAACCAAAAGAACTCTCAAAAGGGAACCATAGCCAGTTCTGTCTCCTTGATGAATGGTTTTACATTTTTAAGGTATACACCTAGATCATCATGCGGATATAAACACCCCCCCCAAAAAAATGACTGTTAGAGGCAGGGAATCAGCTCAAACCTTTCAGAAGTGTAATGAAGAATGAAGAATATAAAGGATTAAAAGTTTTCTTATACAGTTCTAATTTCTCAAGGATCTTGGTGAAGCTGCTAAGACCACAAATGTAGGAGGAAGCAGCCTGTACAGCGGAGGGTTTCTAAATATTACTAATGGGAAGTGCTGCTGGGGATAAATATACTGTTACCTACATGCACCTCAGTCACTGAGCAGTGAGAGATTTCAGGGATGCCAGCACATACCTTGGGTATAGTTTTCTTGAAATGGCAATGCTTGGAAATGGAGGCATTGTCTGTGATATAAGGTTTATTCACACATATAGACAGGCTGAGCATAAGATGGAGAGGTCACAGCATTAGTACTGTAACAGATCCTGCTATAAAATCTTAGGGCTTGAAGGAATCCCAAGAAGACATCCAGCCAAACCTCATTCCTATGGCACTGTGTTGTTGCCATCAACATATGCACTTGTGGGCAGGGGACATAACCACCAACGAGCCATTGCTAACAAATGGCCATTAGATAGTTCAGTAGATGTATAACTTTTGAAGGAGATCTACATCCTGTGTCACAGATGTCACTGACCCAGTCACAACAGATCCTGTGACAGATGTGGGCCTCTATAGTTTCGGTCTGAATCCGCTTGGGCACAATGTGTAGCTGGCGATATAGATTTGTCAGAGATCTGGATTCAGTGTGTTCCATCCCTTGTGGTGTTTCTCCTATTTGAGAGCACTGTGTACCACTGACATTATTAATTATTTATTTACTTACTGAGGTTCATTATTTTATCATCAAAACAGGTGACCCGCAAATATCAATATGGGCTGTCTGCATAATACTCATGGAACGAAGAAGAAGAAGAAGAAGAAGAAGAAGAAGAAGAAGAAGAAGAAGAAGAAGAAGATAACAACTACAAAAATCAATATATGTGCACTGCAAGAACTATGCAGTAGGAGGTACGGGATTCAGCCCTCCAGATTAATATCAGAGGTGGAAGCTATCATTGAGTGCACTTCATTAATTTGATCTCCTTTTTGTTCATAATAATCTCATGGCCTCATAATAACCTTAAAATATAGGTTATTATTGCTGAGGAATTTAGGGTGGGACAGTGAGATGCCAAAGTCCCCAGCTGTGTAGGAATTTGAACCAGAAGGCATGTCCACACAGCACATGCTCACTTTAATTTGCTATGGAGCCAACCCATGCCACTTTATTTAGCACCATATAACATATCAAGGCACTAGCTCCCTAATAATGTTCCAGTATTCAAATCATTCCCTTGCCTCTGCAAGATGGTTGGGCTACTCTTGTGCATGGCTATGGCTCCTAGTTTCCACCATCCTCCTCCATGTCTGCTTTCCTTGTTTAAAACACAAACAGTTACTCACTCACTCAGTCACAATTGTCCAATTATGCATTCTTCCAGCTTTTGAGTATTTTATTTCTCATCATGAAGAGCATTGTGGCTGAATAAACACTATTATGTGAAATTTAAATAATGATAAAAGGGGGAAAATACAATCATGCCCTGAAAACTGTGATTGCATCTGCTCCTATTGTATTTTCATATTTCTAATCATGGCGATTATTGAGGTTGAACCTGAGCTATCAAAGCCCCCTTTTGCAGCATTCTATGCATGGGAAACGAACTCATTTTCAATCTGGTAAGACACGGGCCAGATTATGTCAGGAGCTTACAGGGATTCATTGCTGATTTTAAGCAAATGTACCTGGTAGTTTATGTGGCACATCTGAAAACTGATACAAGTCTGCATACAAGTTGCACGAATCTGAAGGAGGTCTGGCTTCAGGAAACAAATTCCAGAGGGGGGGGGGCATGCTTTAGTGATGAAAAACAACACCCCTGAAAGATACTGTACAGAGACAGGCATGGATCAGGTTGTCAAAGAGGACAATAGCAGGGATGAGGTAGAATTCTTGTTCACTTCAGATCTAAAAAGTGAATTTTCCTAATCTACACTTTATGAAAAAAAATACATGAACTGAAACCCCATCCTTTGAAATTTGCACTTCTCCCAATTTTGTGTACAAAAATGCATATACAGTGGTACCTTGGGTTACATACGCTTCAGGTTACATACGCTTCAGGTTACAGACCCCGCTAACCCAGAAATAGTAGCTCAGGTGAAGAACTTTGCTTCAGGATGAGAACAGAAATCGTGCTCCGGCGGCGCAGCAGCAGCAGGAGGCCCCATTAGCTAAAGTGGTGCTTCAGGTTAAGAACAGTTTCAAGTTAAGAACGGACCTCAGGAACGAATTAAGTACTTAACCCGAGGTACCACTATACTAAAGTTTGCCTATAAATGTCCATATTAGAGAAGCCAGCATACAAAAGTGTTATATTAGGTAATATTGTTTTGCAAAAATGGGTGTATTAGGCACAAACGCATACAAAAACATGGCACATTGGCAGAATTTCACATTAAAATGCTGATGAGTTTTCACAAGCACTTTTTGTTTATTGCAGATTGAATTTAAGACTGGGAAAATGAGAAAGTGAAATTGACAAGAGTTGCCCATCCCTAAGAGGATGGGAGGTGATTGGAATGGAATATCTTGGGAAAACAGCATGTTAGAGGCTGGCTGGGCCCCTGAACAGGAGCACTCCACGCTGCCATGTTTTGTTACAAGTGTCACTGTTTAATTTGAACAACTTTCCATCACCACCCACCTATTCTGCTTTCAATATCACTGGCAGAGATGCTGCTATTTACTCTTCAGAATAATCAGTAATCCATAGCCAGGATAGGGATGGAAATGAGTGAAACCAGGTTTGGAGAACAGAGAAGGGAACAGAGTAATTAGAAGGAAGAGGAGATGGGGGTAGATCAGGGCCGACCCAAGAAAGTTTGACACCTAAGGTGGACCTCAAGATGGTGTCCCCCTCCCTGCCAGGGAAGAACGTGTGAGAGGAGACCATCAGGAGCAAGGCGGGGAAAGGAAGATTGACAGCGGAACCCTGCCACCTGAGGCAGTCACCTCTTTGCCTCATGGGTGGGCCGGCTTTGGGGTAGATCATGATAGGGATAGAACAGGGAAGTTTGGGATAAAAGGGCTAGAAGATTCACCCCCCCCAGCTCTGCCAGAGGCAGGGAGCACAGAGTCACTATTAGGATGGCAAAAACCAAAGTTACCACTACAGACTCAAAGGACCATGTGAATTAGTTTCGGTAAAATCAGATTGATCAATGGCTATTTGGGAATGGTCAGTTTCTTAGTTGCACAAATCATCAGATATGATGACCCAAACACAAAACAAGATAAATGGAAAACATCTTTGTATAAGCTGCTGCTGTGTTGTTTCTGTCTGCAAGTCTGTTCTTACCTTGTCCACCCCTTTGCTGGCACAGACAGGAGTAGTCCCAGGAAAGCTGAGATGGAAGAGAAGGTAATAATAGGCTTTGTTTAGGGAACCTTGCAATCTTTCACCCGGGAGACATTTTCTTTGCCACTTAATTTCCTTTGCTGTACAAGAGGCTGCAGCAAAAGTGACCAGCAGGTATTCCTACGATGATAAAAAAAAGAGGAGAGACAGCCAATATGAGAGGTGAGTGGTCCTGCCTCCCATTAAACCCAGAATCATGCTGAGAACCATCCCAAAGGAAGTGCAGTTCTATGCCAAGCAAGACAGCAAGTAAAAAAAACCCCGAGTTCGAGTTCTGTGGGCAGGTTGCTGCCTCATGATTTATCACCCGAGCCCTTGGAAGCTCTCGAAAACCCGGGGCCTAAGTGTTCCTGAATAGTGGCATTAATTACTATTAAAAACACACATTTATATCTCTCTCACCTGCTTTAAATCCTGTGAAATTAGATTTCCCACCCCTCCCCTCCAGCCTCAGTGGCAGCCTGGGGTGCTTTATGGGCCTATAAAGCCTTACAGTGCCTGCAGCCTCTACCGGCTTTTATTTATGAGGCCTATAACAGGCTTCCTGGCTCCACTATCAGTGTCCCCTGATGATTTCATTTCAGTTTCCCTCGGATGAAATGATTCCCCACAGCCTCTGCGGCTCTGAGAGTTTTCGGAGGCAGGGTAGCATAAAGGGTATGCGGAGCCGGCAAGAGGCTGAGCAAAGTGATTTGCTGCAAGCGCCGGCACAGAGTCACTTAGAGTGCCACAAACACACTTGGAGTGTGTTTAGAACGGAGACTTGTGGTTACCTGGCAATCCTTTACTATCAGCAGCAATGGGAGTAAATGTTTTGCCTCCTGCCTAGATTAGATTAGGGAGGCTCAGGAGCGCCTGCTCTTTCCCCTGTCGTTCCTTCTAAATAGCAAACTTGGGAGGGTGATTGCCCATCAGTTTGGAAGCAAAATGGAGGACACCCCCCCAAAGGTAGTGGTTCTTTAAAAACTTTGGCAGTGGGGGTGTGTCCTAAGTATGCATATTTGTAAATTAAAAGGATTTTAAAACAAAGCACCAAATGGCCTCCTCACAAGGGCCTGCCAATTTTGCACAGAAAATGTTGGTGTCACTTCAGGATAGGAGATGGGGGCGAGGGAAAAAAACTAGAATTTGCCTGCTCCAAACCCCTAGCAGTCTATAGAAAGTATCCTGGAAGGGAGGGGGATTTGAGAAGACAAGGAAAATCCCTTGCCTGGACTGCAGGTCCCACTTGTTCTATTTTATTATTTACTTACTTAGATATTTATTAAATCTATATCCCACCCCTCCTTCCAAATGAGCCCTGGGAGGCAGACAACAAGTAATAAAGCGTCTTAAACATTCCAGTACAGATGGAGACTGGGAAAGTTCTCAGCTCAAAAGTCTTCAGAAACTGTAGTTTGTTAAGGGTGCTGGGAATTACAGCTCTGTGAGGGGAAATTTTCAGTTCCCTTCTTTGAGGGAAGTCATATGCTTTAAATGTGTGTTGGATGCGCTTTAAATGTGTGGTTTGGATCTGCACCATAACTGGTTTTGGTGAAAAGCAGGGTTTGCATGTTTTCATGGCGCTTCAAAAACCAGCAACATCAGTTTTGTCAGATGGTGGCGGGAGGAAGAAAATACCGTAAGTTGTTTTTGCAGTCCACGGCATGGTAAGGGTTAACTTGCCTGTAATGGGAGAGCCTGAGAAAACAGCCTAACCTGGAGTGAGGCTTCAATGGACTTCTTCTTGCCTATGATAGCAACCTGTGAAAAGTGAGATACTTTTGGGGACTCATTTCTTTAATTTTTCTGGCACTTGTTATGACCTCAGAACACTTCCACTTCAGACCTTCTAGACTCTCCCTGGGGAATTGGCCACATTTGTGCACAAAAGCCAGCCTCCTAGATGGAAATTGATAGATCTTTGCCTCCACTCTCCTCAGGCTGAGCATGTTAATTTATAGATTGGATCTGTCACTCCTGATATATGATATCCCTCTTCCTTAATGCAGCCTTCAAAATGAGTTTTTAAGACTTGGTCATCTGGAGAAACTGTGTGTGTGGAAGGGGCAACTTCTCTTGCTTTGAAGCATTCAGAATTGGGTGTTAACACAGTGGTTAAGAGGAGAAGTTCTTTGTTCAAACTTTATCTGACCATGGGCTTAAGGAAGTCACCATCTCTGGGTGCCAGCATCAGCGTTGGCCCTACTATTAGTAAACTGTTTCGAGGTGGGTGGTTGTTGGCTTTTTGCAGTCAAGTGGTATATTAAATACTGTGAAATAAAATAAAGAAGTCAGGCTGCCTCAAGAAGCAGATGCTGAGGGCTGGGGAGTGGCCAGCCTGCTAACCTCAGGTGTGGTAGCGGATGCCATCCCGGCACCAGTGTTAAAATAATTTTCAACTGCCAGCCCAGTCAGCTTCTGTACCTGGAGTGGAAATGGGTACCATTTTGTCCTTTGCTTCAGGGAGCAAAGTATCTTGGGTAAGCCCTGTTTACTGTCCCTCCCAGCGATATGTAACTTAGTGATGATAACATAGGCCTACTGTAACATGGCAGCTGTAGTGATTTACTGAGGTAACATATGAGAAGTTTTTTTGGTCTTAGGAGCCGTTGGCAGAGCTGCTGCTTATTGGGATGCTGCCGAGCTCAGAAGGCCGGGACGAGGTCAGGGTGGCATTCCCACTGGTACACCTGCAGCACCCTGACTTTGCTGCTGTTGTGCCCCACTCTGGCCAGCGGCAGTGGGGCTGCTGTCAGGATGCTGTTTATGTGTCCACACTCCACCAGCTGCTCTAGCCTCTTAAGCACCCGACACATCACTTCCTTCCCAGGCTGCTTTGCAGTTGTTGGGTGGCTACACCTGCTGCTGAACACCAAAAATCGCCTGAAGTGGAGCTGAGGCGTATAAAATGGCTTGTGGTGAATGGTCAGATGCCCTGTTTGTCACAGGCTGTGGGGCACCATGAGTAGGGTGCAAGTGGCCATCATAATCTGAAAGGTTGAACTTTTGGCTCCACAGTGTGCTTAATAGCTGAGCAGGGTTTGGAGGTTATGAGGTCTTCTCCTTGCCTTGCTGCTGCAGTTAGCTTTATTAAATAGGAACCCCAAAATTTGGGATCTCCATCGGTTTGGAGGGGAGTCCAAATTTTGGGGTTCCGATTTAATAAAGCTGCTTCAGTTTCCTGCTGTATAGGCTGCATTTCTGGTGGGTAGGAAGAGTCTTTAGCAACCCTTCCCTTTCTGCAGATCTTCCCAACAGCATCTGTTTGCAGAGATATTTACCTTTGCAGATATTTATAAAATACATGGACCAGAATTGCTAACACTTCGCTTTCCCACTTAGGGCATTCAAAAGGAGTGAGTAATCCAAAAGTATATAGCACAGGTAGGCAAACTAAGGCCTGTGGGCCAGATCCGGCCCAATCGCCTTCTAAATCTGGCCCGCGGATGGTCTGGGAATCAGCGTGTTTTTACATGAGTAGAATGTGTCGTTTTATTTAAAATGCATCTCTGGGTTATTTGTGGGGCATAGGAATTCATTCATTTTTTTCTTCAAAATATAGTCCGGCCCCCCGCAAGGTCTGAGGGACAGTGGACTGGCCCCCTGCTGAAAAAGATTGCTGACCCCTGGTATAGTGTCTGGTTGGGCCATTAAAATTGATTTAGGTCACTATTTTTTCTCTCCTCTAGGTGGCACCAACAGTGCTCGAAGGGTTTCCCCAACCTAACCACTATGACTTTTACCATATCTCTAGTACGATGATGTGGGCTTTTCTGGGCGCTGATAAGGGTTATAATGCTCAGACAAGAGCTTGTGATGCAGATGGAGCAATTCTCATTTTGGCTGGGCAAGGACAGGTTTTCTAACAGGATCATGATGGTTCGGGCCTGCTCCACTTATGGGAGAGATTTAAACTTGGCTGCCTCAATAATGACATTTTTACTCCTCATGCTTTTAGGAAGACTGTAAGATCTTTTGAAAGCTGGTGTTTTACCTCCCAAATGTCTGTATCTGAAGGTATGAACTAGTATTAAGAACAAATTAAGCACTTAGCAGCACCTAGTTCACACACTAGGAAATACGTACCACATTTATTAAACAGGTACAGACTGAGCCTATGCTGTTATGGGAAGCATTCAAGATGACATTCCACTTCAGGCAACAGAACTTGTTGACTCCTAATAGCCTGGGTAATTAACATACAGAATACATACAGAATACTTTTCCAAATATTTTCTCTGAAAAACAGGAATACAATTATGATGTTGGAAGTTCCCAGTTCCTTATTTGCATGAAAGTTCAAAGCACGGAGCTCAATCTATCAACTTTATAAGGAACTAAAGTTTATATGCCTATGATCTCCAGGATAAGTTTTGACCTACTCCTTAGCGCCTGCTTTCATGACTGCAGGACTCTCCTCTTTGGAAATTGACAACAAAGCAATCATGAACTCTGAGTAGTCACAACTCAACTATTAGAGATATAGGCTGTGTACACACTGAACATTTAAAGCACATTGCTTCCTGCAAAGTATCCTGGGAACTGTAGTTTACCCCTCAGGAGGGATGGATCAGTCAGTTTTGGTTCTCTCAGTTTATCATTTTTCCAGTCTTAAATTCAGTTGCCCACATTTCTATAGCAATCTGCTTTAAAAAAACCAACAACTTAAAAATTCGTCATCGTTTTAGTGTGAAATTCTCCTAATTAATACATTTTTGTATGCACTTTGAACCATCAGGTTCCATCAGTCTCTGAGGGCGGGCTATCTGAACAGACCTTGCAAGAGGGAATTGCTGGTACTAGTATAAACTTCAGGTAATGGTCCAATTATGACAAGGGAGTGTTTTGCACACCCCTACCTTTAGTTCATCCCTCATATCACTTGGGGGTAAAGGCGACATCAAGCATATGCCTACTTAGTGTGTTGGACCAGTGAGCATCTGAGACACCTGCTATGGTTGTCATGGAGGCCATGAAGTCCTGTGCTGGTCCAGTCTCCACATGGATGTTGAAGTCACACTGAAGTAGCAACCGGAGTCCTCCAACACCATACTAGAGACCACCTCAGTCAGTTCGATCACGGATGCTGCTGGGCAACAGGGCTGTTCATACACCAGCAGCTTTCCCAATCTGTCTCTGTGGCCCAAAATCAGGTACAAGTCCCATCCCAGGATTATGAGTTTTTCTGTAAAGGAGATGGTCTTCTATGGGCAATAGTAACCCACATTGTACCCCCACCCCTGATTAGCCTAGTACCTAGATGGGCACAGCTGACTTACATCAGGTCAACCCAACTCACCCATTCAAGTCTTGGCAATACATGCCAAGATAGCCCATTCATCCGCTATCAAGTCGTGAATGAACATGGTCTTATTCTGGACTGATGTGGTATTCGGCAACAGCACCACCAGACCAGAGGTGAAGTCTGCAGGTGATCCAGAGTCTGCATCAGATGTTCATTATATAATTTATGGCACAAATGAGCCCCACAGAACGAGAGAGTTCCTAGGTGTACCACTATGTGGTTTAAGAATCAGGTCTAGAAAAGGTCTGATTCATAGGGGATTCACTCCAAACTTCTCCAGGTTTAGCATTCAGCCTGTGTTTTGAACTGTGTGACAAGGCTCAACGCTGCCTAACAGGGATTGATGGCTTTGTGTTTCCAGAGCCAACAGTGTGTGATTGCAGCTCCCAGCCGAACAGTGGTG